TAACTTCCAGTGTACTATTTCTTTAAGGCTGAGTCTACACTAAACATATAATGCAGTTCAACCGCATGATATGGTAGCGCAGAGCGAGCCTAGAAGAAAGGGCAGATTGGAAGTATGGCAATCTTCATTTCAAGGGAAAACGGGGGAGTGCAGACCCATATAATGCACTTCCATACAGTTCAGGCTCATATAATGACAGTAAAGACCAGGGCCGTAGCCAGAAAAAAATTTCGGGAGGGGTTGAAATTTCGGGGGGGGGGGGGTTGAAAATTTCGGGGGGGGGGTTGAAACCTGCCTCCTAGCTCACGCTGAAGCAAAGAGCACAGCAGGGGGCAGAGCAGCCTTCAATAGCCTGCAGCTCCGCCCCTGTCAACCACCTCCACCAAGTCTGGCCTCCTTAATGAGAGCATTCAACACACACACACACACTTGGTTGCTTCACTTCATCAGCTATTGCTGCAAGTAATGACAGTGTGAATAAACTGACAATATTTGCTTGAGATAGTGCTTACAGTTCTTGAGATAGTGCTTACAGTTCTTGCATCTCATACTTAGCATGGGGATTTGGTCAACCAGTTAAAATTCATTAGTAAACCAGGTTTTTTAAAAAAATCTGAAACATTTCGGGGGGGGGGTTGAACCCCTTAACCCCCCCCCCTCGCTACAGGCCTGGTGAAGACCCATATAACTCAGGCTCTTATAACTAACGGCAGTAAAGACCCATATCATACAGTTCAAGCTCATACAATGGCAGTGTAGACCCATATAATGCAGTTCAGGCTCATATAATGCCAGTGCAGACTCATATAATGCACTTCAGGCTCATATAATGCCAGTGTAGACCCATATGATGCAGTTCAGGCTCATATAATGCCAGTGTAGACCCATATCATGCAATTCAGTCTCATATAATGGAAGTGTAGACCCATATGATGCAGTTCAGGTGATATAATGGAAGTGTAGACTCGTATAATACAGTTCAGGCTCATATAATGGAAGTGAAGACCCATATGATGCAGTTCAGGCTCATATAATGGCAGTGTAGACTCATAATGCAGTTCAGGCTCATATAATGGCAGTGTAGATTCATATAATGCAGTTCAGGATCATATAATGGAAGTGTAGACTCACATAATGCAGATCAGGCTCATATAATGGCAGTGTAGACTCATATAATGCAGTTCAGGCTCATATAATGGCAGTGGAGACCCGTATGATGCAGATCAGACTCATATAATGGCAATGAAGACCCATATAATACAGCTTGGGCTCATATAATAGCAGTGTAGACCCATACAGTGCAGCTCAATGCGATTCAGGCTCACCGTGTAAACCCATACAATGCAGTTCAATGTGGTTCGGGCTCCATATAATGGCAGCGTAGATCCATATAATGCAGTTCCAACGGCATTGTATGGCAATGTAAATCCAGTTTCCGATGGTGGTGAGAATCCCACATCTTTCTTTTTCTTTTCGTTGCGATTTTTATATATATATTCAAATATATATATATTTAAAGAAATCCACCTTCCATCCACAGCAAGGCAGCCAGGACCCCAGTTATTCACTTCACTGACTAGTGTGGTTATTATTATTGCCATTGATAGGCAAATCAGGAAGAGAAATAAGGCAGCTAAACATTTAATAAGGACACCCACGCGCGAAACAATACAAACAATGTGAAAGTGATAAATATTTTAAAAGGAGTAAAGGACTGGAGGTTGCAATGGCATTTGTCGCCCACGGATAGGCAGCTCCTGAAAAAAAGAGAGTGAGAAACAGTCTGGAATGGATGGGAGAGACTTCTAGGATTCCCCCTGACGCAACGATTCCCCTTTTCCTAAAACTCAGAAAGGGCGGGTGGAAGCGACAGGGAAAGGAAACGGGGTTTTCCGAACCACCGAAATGACTTCTCGGGAGAAAGGGAATGCGTTCACAAAACCAAACAAACGTAGACATTGAATCCACAACTCCCAGCGTCAGGGCGCGCTGTTAGATTTATGTCTGTTTTCCTAAAGTGGAAGTGGGGGAAAGGTGTCGTGAGACCAAGAGAGAGAGGGAGGAAGAGAGGGAGGGAAGGGGAGGGAAGAGAAGAGAAGAGAAGAGGAGGAAGAGGAAGAGGGGGAGGACTGGAAGGCGGATTAATAAGGGAAGGGAAGGGAAGAGGAGAGGAGAGGACAGGAGAGAAGAGGAGGAAGAGGAGGACTGAAAGGCGGATTAATAAGGGAAGGGAAAGGAAGAGATGAGAGGAAGGCGGATTAATAAGGGAAGGGCAGGGAAGGAAAGAGAAGGGGAGGAAGAGGAGGAAGAGGAGGACTGGAAGGCGGATTAATAAGGGAAGGGAACAGAAGAGAAGAGGAACTAGAGGAGGAGGAGGACTGGAAGGCAAATTAATAAGGGAAGGGAAGGGAAGAGAATAGGAAGAGGAGGAGGAGGACTGCAAGGTGGATTAACAAGGGAAGGGCAGGGAAGAGAAGAGAAGAAGAAGAGGAGGAGGAGGAGGACTGGAAGGCAGATTAATAAGGGAAGGGAAGAGAAGGGAAGACGAGGAACAGGAGGAACAGGAGGACTGGAAAGCGGATTAATAAGGGAAGGACAGGGAAGGAAAGAGAAAAGAAGAGGAGGAGGAGGACTGGAAGGCGGATTAATAAGGGAAGGTAATGCGGGTGGAAGTAATGCGGGTGGAAAGCGGAAGAGGGGGAAGCCAATACATTTAGCTCTGACCAGGTGAAAGCAGTATCTGTGGATTCACAGCTTTGGAAGATTCAATCACCCCCCCCCCCCCCCCCCCCCCCCCACACACACACACACACACACAATGCACAGAGGGCACCTAAACTCGCCAATGCTCATTATGGGTCCTATTTTGGAAGGCATAGTACGTTGTATAACACTGGCCAGCACATATTTTGGTGCCTCAAACGTTAGCTCTGCTTCTGGTTATATCTGACCTGCTGATTCAAAAAAAAAAAAAATAGCACCAGTTTTCCCTGTCAACTCTTGTTTTTGAGATACAGCACATATGCCATCTACTAGTTGCCATTGCTGATCCATAGAAAACCACGATAACCATATCTAAGAAACTAGAGCTGTGGTTTATCCAGTGCAATTTTCTGAAACCCCAGAAACAGGCTTCAAAACCCAGAAAGAGTTTTTTTTAAATGATGGCCACTGTCAAGCTGCCCCTGAACTACATCCACTGTATAGCTAGAGTAGATGTGCTCCTCCTGAAGGCCTCTAATGCACAGTGTGTCATTGGCAAAATCTACATGTAATGCGGTTTCAAACCGGTACTGCTTTTGCCCTGCAGATGATTCCATAGGAAAGCCCGGAACCCATTTCGGAAGCCAGATGACACAAACCCGCACTGAGAGCTTTCCTTAGGGCGCTTTTGTGAAACTGCCTTTGATCTGCTTTAAATGCTCAGTGTAGATAGGGCCATAGCGCTTTCGAACTGCCTTCAATCCACCAGTGTTTTGGACACAGGAAAAAGAGTGGGAAAAAGAGGGGGAAGCCACGATCCCCTTGAAAGGAAAAGAGGGCAAGTCGGGGAGAGAAAGCACCTGTGGCCCTACACTGACTATATTGTGCTGTGGGTGGCTGTAAGTTTTCCGGCCTGTGTGGCCATGTTCCAGTAGCATTCTCTTCTGACGTTTCGCCCACATCGATGGCAGGCATCCTCAGTGGTTGTGAGTTTTGTTGGAAACCAGGCAAGTGAGGATTAATATACCTGTGGAATGTCCAGGGTTGGATAAAGAACTCCTGTCTGTTTGAGGCAGGTGTTAATGTTGCAATTGGCCACCTTGATTAACATTTGATGGTCTTACAGCTTCAAAGTCTGGCTGGTTGCTGCCTGGGGGATCCTTTGTTGGGAGGTGTTAGCTGGTCCAGATTGATTCTTGACTGCTTTTTGAGTGCTGCTCTTTATTCACTGTCCTGATTTTAGAGCTTTTTAATACTGGTAGCTAGATTTTGGTCATTTTCATTGTTGAAATTATCCACATGCTCTTGGATTCCAGTGGCCTCTCTGTGTAGTCTGATGTGGTGGTTGTTAGAGTGGTCCTGCATTTCTGTGCTCTCAGATAATATGCTGTGTCCAGAAAGAACTCTTGCCTGCTTGAGGCAAGTGGGAATGTTGCAATTGGCCACCTTAATTAGCATTGAAAGGCCCTGCAGCTTCAAAGGCCTGTCTGCTTCCTGCCTGGGGCATCCTCAGAGGTTGTGAGGTCTATTGGAAACTAGACAAGTGAGATTTATATATCTGTTGAATGTTCAGGGTGGGAGAAAGAACTGTCTGCTTGAGACAAGGATGAATGTTGCAATAGGTTACCTTGATTAGCATTGAATGGCCTTGCAGCTTCAAAGCCTGGCTGCTTCCTGCCTAAGGGAAACCTTTGTTGGGAGGTGTTAACTGGCCCTGGTTGATTATTGTGTGGAATTCTTCTGTTCCTTATTTACTATCCTGATGTTAGAGGGGTTTTTTTTTTTAGCAAACTCTATATTTCACAGCTTGGAACCACTGTTGTGAAATAGCTAGCGTAGATGTATATGAATATAATTAAGCTGGCTTCTCCTTTTGCTGGCTCTTGAATGCAGCCTTCGAGTTTCTTGAATTTCTCTCGCTGTCCTATAGGGCGGCATGATAGGGCATGTAATGTACTGAACTGCAATGGCATGGGTCCACACTGACCCTATGATGCGGACTGAAAGGGATCCAGAGAGGCAAGAGATGCAGCAACAGCAACAGCAGCAGCGTGACTTCTATCTAGGAAGAAGAGGAAGCGCGGTGGGTGATGACGTCACGGGGCGCGCGCGCCGCCCCGGGCGCGTTCTCGTCCCTCCGGCGCCGCGGATTGGCTGCCTTCCTCTCCGCGGCACTTCAAAGCCTTGCCAGGGAGCTACAATTGGGCTGGAAGGGGCGGAACTGATCATTGTATTGCACACCTCTAAAAAAAAACACGCGCGGCGGCGGCGGCCTCTGATTTATCAATATAGGGGGGGCAAAAGAGAGAGAGAATCCTCGGAGAGGAGGGCGCCTTGTGGCATGGCAACTTCACTGCTAGGGGTGAGTCTCAGGGTTTGCTTTCTCTCTCCCCCCCTTTTTTTTCCTTCTCCCCCCCCCCCTCCTTTCCTCCTTTGCTCTTTTAATTGGGTCCTTTTTTTCCTTTCCCCTTTCTTTATTGGCGATCGGAGAAGGGTTAAAGTGAGCCCTTCTGTTGACCGGGGGGCTATCAGTCTCCTCTATTGAGCCCTTCTCACCCCCCTTTTCCCTCCCTTTCTCTAAGTCCGAAGGAGTTCGCGAGAAAAGAAAAGAGGGGGAAAAGGGGAGGGAGAAGAGGGGAAGAGGGCAGTCACTTTTTTTTCCTCCCCCCTTTTTTTGTCAGCGAGCAAGAGAAAGGTTTTAAGGGCATTCGCCCCCAACAACCTCGGAAGCTGCAGGGATTATTCCTCTCCCTCCCTGGAGAACTGGACTTTCCGGGTGGAAAAAACAGGCTCCTGCTTTCACTCTCAGAAAGAAAGAGAGAATATTTCAAAAGCTAGAGAAAACTTCTTTTTAACCCTTCATTTCTTGCAGGTATGTCTTCTTTTTCTCTCTCTGCTTCTTTGATCAATGCTAGGAAAGGTTTTGAGGGGAGGGATCTCACAGAGGCTTTTCTAAAAGTCTACTTTAATGTATTTATGTCCGAATAAATCTGGGTTGAAGCTGTGGCTTCCGCGGAGAGATCCCTTTCCTTCTTCTAATTAGTTTCAAATCGATGTTGGAAAAAGAGGTTTCTCCTCACAGAGGGTCTCACAGGAAATCCTGGAACCATTTGGAGGCCCAGAAGAGGATGGCACCAAACCACGGAGCACCGATGGCCCTTAAGGGCTTGCTTTGGGGGGAGTTTGTTGCAGTTTGGAGCTAGCCTTCAATGGTCAGTGTAGATGGGGCCTCGGGAAGGCCGAGGGGGGCCAGGAGGGAGCGGGTTGGTAGCCCTTTAACCCATCTTTGACCCTCTTCTCCGATGGGATATGGTCAGGTGACGGAGCTCCGATTTGGAGGAGACTCCTAGGCATACAATACCTGGGGAGTACTTTGTTTAAACACGGAGGGGACTTCCGTGATTTGGTTTTTGGTGCCATGATCTGGCCACTTGGCCCGATCACTGGGTTCGGACAGGAGCGACAATTTCGTGGTGGCTGAAAAGAAAGAGGGACTTCCTTCCTTACTTCTTTTTCTTTCTTTCGCTGAATCTACACTGACAAATGATGCAGTTTGAGTTGAACGACATCGTCAAGTGTAGACATACATAATGCCCTTCGAAAACTGCATTATCAGTCGGAACTGACCACAAACTGCATTATATGGCAGTATAGCTCCTTCCTTCCTCCTTCCTCTCTCTCCTGCCTCTCTCTCTCCCTCCCCTTCCTTCCTTCTTTCTTTTTTCCTTCCGTTCTCTCCTTTCTTCCATCCTTCCTTCCTCTCTCTCTCTCTCTCTCTCCCTGGCTTTCTTTCTCCTTCCTCTCTCTTTCCTGGCTTCCTTCCTTCCTTCCTCCCCTYCTCCCTCTCTACTGGCTTTCGTTCTCCTTCCTTCCTCTCTTGGCTTTCTCTCCTTCCTTCCTTCCTTCCTTCCTKCCTTCCTTCCTTCCTTCCTTCCTTCCTCTCTCTCTCTCACACACACTCTCCCCTGGCTTTCTTTTTCCTTCCTTCCTCTGCCTCTCCTTGTGTTTCTCTCCTTGTGCCTCTCCTTGTGTTTCTCTCTCTCTCTCTCTCTCTCTCTCCTTCCTTCTTTCTTTTTTCCTTTCTTTCTCTCCTTCCTTCCTTTCTTCCTCTCTCTCTTCCCCCGGCTTCCTTCCTTCCTTCTTTCTTCTTTCCTTTCTTCCTCTCTCTCTCTCTCCTGGCTTTCTCTTTTTCTTTCTCTCTCTCCTTTCTTCCTTTCTTCTTTTTCCATCCTTTCTCTCCTGTCTTCTTTTCTTCCTTTCCCCTTCTCTCTCCTGGGTTTCTTTTTTCTCCTTCCTTCCTTCCTTCCTTCCTTCCTTCCTTCCTTCCTTCCTTCCTTCCTTCCTCTCTCTCTCTCTTCTCAGTCGTTCTGCCTGCTGAGCCTAACGGGTGCTTCTCGCCCTCCTTCCTCCTCCTCCTTCTCCGCAGGAAGAACCGCGCGTGGGCTCCACTCCCTTGGCCATGCTCGCCGCCACTTGCAACAAGATCGGCAGCGCCAGCCCTTCTCCCTCGTCGCTCTCCGACGGCGCCTCGGCCTTCGCCAAGGGCTTCCACCCGTGGAAGCGCTCCTCGTCCTCCTCTTCCTCCTCGTCCAGCTGCAACGTGGCCCTGGGCTCGGGCTTGGYGCGCAATGGCTCTTCCTCGGCTCACGCGGCGGCGGCGGCGGCAGCAGCGGCGGCAGCGGCGGCGGCCTTGGTCTCGGACTCCTTCAGTTGCAGCGGCGGCGGTGGCGGCGGCTCTTCCCCGGGCTCCAGCAGCGCCTTCTCGCTCACCTCCAGCGGCGCCGCTTCGGCCTCGCCTTTCGGCAACGACTACTTCCAGACGGGAGGCGGAGGCGGCGGCGGGGGAGGAGGAGGCGGCGGGAACGGCGGCGGAGGCGTGCAGGAGCCGCCGGTCTTCCTGTCCAAGGTGCACCCTTCCGTGGACGGGCTGCAGGGTTTGTACCCGCGCGTGGGCATGGCGCACCCTTACGAGTCGTGGTTCAAGCCCTCGCACCCGAGCGAGGCGGGCGCTTCCAGCTGGTGGGACGTGGGCGCCGCCGGGTGGCTCGACGTGCAGAACCCCAACGGGGTCCACCCCGCCGCCGCTGTGGTGGGACTCCAAGCCGGCTCCCTGCACTCCCCGTTAGGCGCCTACAACTCGGATTATTCCACTTTGGCGGGACATTCCGCCTTCAGCCCGGGCGCGGCGTCCTCCTCCTCGCACCTCTTGGGCGGGCAGCACCTCATGGACGGCTTCAAGCCCGTGTACCCGGACGCGGCGCCTTCCCCTTTGACCGCGGGCTCCGGCGGGTCTCTCATGGGAGTGGGCGGCGGTCCGGGCGTCTCTCCGCGCTCCTCCTCTTCGTCCTCCTCGGCGAGGCGCTACTCGGGGCGCGCCACGTGCGACTGCCCCAACTGCCAGGAAGCGGAGCGGCTGGGCCCGGCCGGAGCCAGCCTCCGCCGCAAAGGCCTGCACAGCTGCCACATCCCGGGCTGCGGGAAGGTCTACGGGAAGACCTCGCACCTGAAGGCGCACCTGCGCTGGCACACGGGCGAGCGGCCCTTCGTCTGCAACTGGCTCTTCTGCGGGAAGCGCTTCACCCGCTCCGACGAGCTCCAGCGCCACCTCCGCACCCACACCGGCGAGAAGCGCTTCGCCTGCCCCGTCTGCAACAAGCGCTTCATGCGCAGCGACCACCTCAGCAAGCACGTCAAGACCCACAGCAGCGCCGGCGGAGGAGGAGGAAGCGGAAGCGGAAGCGGGGCCGGGGTCTCCGTCAAGAAGGGCAGCGACACCGACAGCGAGCACAGCGCGCCCGGAAGCCCGCCTTGCCACTCGCCCGAGCTGCTCCCGCCACCGCCGCCGCCCGACGCGGGCCATAGGAACGGCTTGGAGTGAAACGCCCACGCGGGGGGTTTCAGTCCCGAGAGGAACTCCCTCCTCGCCCCGCTTCCACTTTGGGAGCTCTCCTGCCCTTCTTTGCAAGAGGAAACTCGCTCCTCCTTCTTCCCCGACGGTTTGCCTCCTCCAAATCCCCTCTCACGCTGTTTATGGGGATTCGAGGGCCAAAAGTGACTGATCCCCCCCAAAAAACCAAGGGCGGGGAGGAGATCGAAGCCCCAAACTTGCTCCCCAAGTGACTTCCCAACTAGAGAATGGCACCAAGGACAAGATATTTTTGAGAAGGTGCTTCTCCAAGTTTGTTTTGGCATCCAGTTTTGGGGGGAAGGGGCAAAAAAGTACACCCCGAAAGTACTGTAAGAGAATTGGCCGTCTACAGACTGGAGCTCACTCCCTTTAGCGGATTCGAACCCGCAACCTTCAGGTCAGCAATCCAACCTTCGGGTCAGCAGTCCAGCCGGCACAAGGGTTTAACCCATTACGCCACCGCGGCTCCACAACAAAGTTGGTGAATGGGAACTTCTGAGGAGGTGAAAGGGGTGGGGAGAGAGGCCCAGGTCTTCTTCTTTTTCTTCTCCTGCTGAAAGCACTTTTTTTGAATGAGGACACAGTCAAGGAAGCGCCTCTCCCGCCRCAGATGGATTTCAAAGGGAAGCGCCCGGGAGGCTTTTCAAGGTTTCTGGGAAATTGCATCCTTCAACGCCCCCCCCCCCCTTTCCCCCTTCTTTTTGTTGGGATGAGCTTGGAGTCGATGAGAGAAGTTCGAGTATCTGTGTGTACTTGGGGGAAACAAATGCTTGCGGGTGGGTCGGTAGTTCGCTCSTTCCACGCGAGTTTTCTAAACCTTTGACACCAATGGCAAGTTAAGTGGGTTTGGGAGACTTTTCCTTCCACACAGCCATATAACTCAGGCCCCTTCCACACAGCTGAATCAAATCCCACATTTTCTGCTTTGAACTGGAATATATGGCAGTGTGGACTCAGATAATCCAGTTCAAAGCAGATCTTGTGGGTTATTCTGCCTTGATATTCTGGGATATAGGGCTGTGTGGAAGGTCCCCCTACCCCAGAATATCAAGGCAGAAAATCCCAAAATATCTGCTTTGATCTGGAATATATTGCAGATAACCCAGGGCCCTTCCACACAGCCCTATATCCCAGAATATCAAGGCAGAAAACCCCACATTATCTGGGTGTGGACTCGGAGAACCCAGTTAAATGCAGATGTTGTGGGATTTTCTGCCTTGGTATTCTGGGATACAGGGCTGTGAGGAAGGCCCCCCAGAATATCAAGACAGGAAATCCCACAATATCTTCTTTGATCTGGAATATATGTCAGATAACCTAGGACCCTTCCACATAGCCCTTTATCCCAGAATATCAAGGCAGAAAACCCCACATTATCTGAGTGTGGACTCAGATAACCCAGTTTAAAGCAGATATTGTGGGCTTTCCTGCCTTGACAGTCTGGGTTATATGGCTGTGTAGCAGGGGCCTGAGGCTGTAATCCCAGATTGAGTTGAAGGGGCTGGAGAGTGAAATCTGCAAAGGGAATAGGTTACACTTCCTCCTGAGTAAATGAGTATCCGAAGCCACTTTCGCTTTGAGGCCGGAAAGGCCATAAGCAAGTGTAGACAATTCCAATGGCTCTAGTTGAAACAGGGTGGGCTTTCTTCTACCTTGAAGTATTTGTTCAGATTGATGTGTGTTTACTCCTCAGCAAATCCAGACGCCATTTACTTCAGAGGCCCCTTCCACATCTGAATAAAATCCTATATTATCTGTTTTGAACTGGGATATATGTCAGTGTGGACTCAGATAACTCCGTTCAAAGCAGATATTGTGGGGTTTTCTGTCTTGAAAGTCTGGGGGCCCTTCCACACAGCCCTATATCCAAGGCAGAAAATCCCACATTATGTGAGTGTGGACTCAGATAACCCAGTTCAAAGCGGATATTGTGGGATTTTCTGCCTTGATATTCTGGCATATAGGGCTGTGTGGAAGGCCCCTAAGTAAAGCGTGGATATGATTATATTATTTTGGGGAGGATAAACATGCCTCAAATTGGCTCTGAATCCTGCTCTGGATTGAAGTGAGTGCTACATTGGGCTCTTGCTTTAAGTGAGTGCAACCTCAATAACGCTCAAACTTTTGCTCTTAAAAAAAAAACTAATCTGTGGAGACAGTGTCCTTGTTATTTTCGAACTCAACTATCCCATTAATTCTTTCTTTTTAAAATCCCACAATTTTAAGCCCCATTGATTTGAATCGGAATGTAAAACCCAAGCTTAATGCTTTCCCTTGAAATCCGACTGAGGGCCCTTCCACACAACCCTATATCCCAGAATATCCAGGCAGAAAACCCCACAATATCTGCTTTGAACTGGGTTATGGGGGGGGGGGGGGGGGCTTCCATATAGCCCTATATCTCAGAATATCAAGGCAGAAAACCCCACATTATCTGAGTGTGGACTCAGAGCCCTTCCACACAGCCCTATATCCCAGAATATCCAGGCAGAAAATCCCACATCTATTTGAACTGGATTATCTAAGTCCACACTCAGATCATGTGGGATTTTCTGCCTTGATATTCTGGAATATAGGGCTGTGTGGAAGGGCTCTCAGATAATCCATTTGACTCCAGATCTTCCCATGAGATTTGCTTCTGGAAAGAGAAATTATAAGACACCTTCAATGACTTCGTTAAAAAAAAAACCCTCCATTTTTAAGATTAATTATCCCACTCTCAAATCCAAATTATACTTTTTCAGAGTCCCAGGGCCCTTCCACACAGTCGTATAACCCAGAACATCAAGGCAGAAAATCCCACAATATCTGCTTTGAACTGAGGCCCCTTCCACACAGCTGAAGAAAATCCCACATAATTTTGCTTTGAATCGGAATAGATGGCAGTGTGGACTCAGATAACCCAATTCAAAGCAGATATTGGGATTTTCTGCCTTGATATTTTGGGTTTATATGGCTGTGTGGAAGGACCCTGGGTTTTTAGAGTCTACACTGTCATATATTCCAATTCCAAGCAAATATTGTGATGCAGGTGAAACGCCCCGGAAAACTCAAAACAACCCAGATATTGTGGGATTTTCTGTCTTGATATTCTGGGTTATATGGCTGCCTGGAAGGGCCTGGATTATCTGAGTCCACACTGTCATATATTCCAGTTCGAAGCAGATATTGTGATACAGGCGAAATATCGGGAGAAAGTTATATGGCTGCCTGGAAGGGCCCTTGATTATCTAAATCCACAGTTCAAAACAGATAATTGTGATGCATGTGAAACCTCGGGAGAGAGTGCTTCTGGAACATGGCCATAGAGCCAGGAAAACTCACAACAACTCAGATATTGTGGGGTTTTCTGCCTTGATAATTTTCTGGGTTATATGGCTGCCTGGAAGGACCCTGGGGGCCCTTCCGGACAACCCTATATGCCAGAATATCAAGGCAGAAAAACCCAGATTATCTAAGTGTGGACTCAGATAACCCAGTTCAAAGAAGATGTGGGATTTTCTGCCTTGATATTCAGAAATATAGGGCTGTGTGGGTTTTCAGAGTCCACACTTCCATATATTCCATTTCAAAGCAGATAATGTGGGATTTTATTCAACTGTGTGGAAGGGCCCCTACACTCCTGTCTTCACGCAGTACTTTGAAGGCACCTAGGATTGAAATTATTATGATTTGTAGCATTCACTTTGTGATTCGGAAAAGGAATTGAGAGAGCACCCTTGCTTTTCAGAGAGGCTGGAGTCTGAATGCCAAATAAGGAGAGGGAAGGAAGGAAGGAAGGAAGGAAGGAAGGGGAGATAGAGACAAATATTTGTAAAAAAATTCCTTCTAAACCTAACGTTTATACAACGGAAAATCGTTGTTAAAAATAGTTAACAATTAAATATAACTCCACACCAGCGTATTGGTGTGAAATGCAGTTGTCCAGGAGACGATTTTGTATAGTATTTTTCTTGTATATTTGAAAATATATTGAGCTTTTTTCCCCCCTCCCCACTTCATTTATTTTTATTTCCTTTTTTCGTTCTGCTCAAAAGGAATTATTAACGCGTTCTCGTTGCAGTCCTAATTTAACAAAATAAAAAAACTTGAAGTGTACAGCAAAATAAACTTCAAGACCTAGTTTTGGCTTGAATATTAATTTAGATAGGCATAAGGCTGTAATTAAGCAAACGGTATTGGATCAATGTTGAATGACCTTTAATTTAATGGCGCATGTACTTCTTTGCATTTTGCTGGCAGTTCAGGTCTAGTTTCAGTGAAGAGTTCTCCTCTATTTCAAAGCGGTGGGTTCACCCAGACCCATGTATTACAATAAACTGTCCAAGTGAAACTGACTCCTCATGGCCTATGTGTATTTCCTGACCATATGCTTATTTTTTTGAAAGAAAAGGTGAGCAAAACATTTCAGCGTTTGCAAAACCATTAAGTCTTGATGCCATGTTGAAATAAGTTGGGGTATTTCACATTGAAATGGAAACAAAAAAAAGGAGGGGGGGGGGAAATGAAGCCTTTCGCTGAAAACACTTTACATTTGCATTTTTAAATGCATGGATTGTAATGGATTTTGATCTGTAAGATTTTAAATGGAAATTAATAAACACCAGATACAATCTGTGTTGTTAGGTTAGTTGATTTCTTTCAAGAGGTTAAAAACAAAAACGTTTTCCCGATGTTGAGAGACAGGTAACAAAATAATAATAATAATAATAATAATAATAATAATAATAATAATAATAATTTGTTATTATTAATAATATTAATTATACTAATTATATATTATTATTAATAATAATAATACAATAAAATACAAAACTTTATTACAGTCACTGACCAGCACATAATAATAATAATAATAATAATAATAATAATAGTAATAATAATAATAATAATAATAATAATAATTATTATTATTATTATTATTATTATTATTATTATTATTATTATTATTTGCTGGTCAGTGACCGCCATAACGTTTTGTATTTCATTGTATAAGTATTAATAGTAATAGTAATAATAATAATAATAATAATATATTGTGATATTATGGTACAGCGGGTTAAACCTTTGAGCTGCTGAACTTGTTGACCGAAAAGTTTGCAGTTCGAATCCGGAAGGGTGAGCTCCTGCTATTAGGTCCAGCTTCTGCCAAGCTAGCAGTTTGGAAAACATGCGAATGTGAGTAGATCAATAGGTACCGCTTCTGCGGGAAGGTAAGGGAGCTCCATGCAGTCATGCTGACCACATGACCTAGGAGGCGTCTACGGACAACGCTGCCACGACTAGAAAAACCTTTACCTTTACTTATTATTATATATTGTTATTAATTATTACTTAAGAAAGGAGATTCCATCTGAACATTAGGAAGAACTTCCTGACTGTGAGAGCCGTTCAGCAGTGGAACTGCCTGCCCCGGAGTGTGGTGGAAGCTCCTTCTTTGGAAGCTTTTAAACAGAGGCTGGATGGCCATCTGTCGGGGGTGCTTTGAATGCAATTTTCCTGCTTCTTGGCAGGGGGTTGGACTGGATGACCCATGAGGTCTCTTCCAACTCTATGACTCTATGATTAATAATATTTATTATTTATTATTTATTTATTATTAGTTATTATTAGTTATTAATAATGTTTATTATTATTAGAACAGGTATTATTATTATTATTAGTAATAGTAGTAGTATTGGGTTGTTGTAGGTTTTTTTCGGGCTATATGGCCATGTTCTAGAGGCATTCTCTCCTGACGTTTCACCTGCATCTATGGCAAGCATCCTCAGAGGTAGTGAGGCACCTCTGAGGATGCTTGCCATAGATGCAGGCGAAACGTCAGGAGAGAATGCATCTAGAACATGGCCATATAGCCCGAAAAACCCTACAACAACCCAGTGATTCAGGCCATGAAAGCCTTTGACAAAACATTATTATTATTATTATTATTATTATTATTATTATTATTATTATTATTACAGATATGCAAGTTTCATGGAATGCTTCAGTTCCTATTTCCAGGAGAAAAGGGGCTACTGATAATAACTGGATTTGTTTACAAGGCTCCTTAATACGAACGTTAATCACATTGAGTAGAGAAAGTCGTCTCAAAGGGACAATGTGGCAAGAAGAGAAAACTTTAGTCATCTTGAAGACTGGTTTTCAAGATCCACAAATCAGATTGAAAAAATTAGATTCGACCCTTTGCTGTATAAGATATTGAAGTGGCTTTATGTGATTGTCCATATCATCTCATCATCTCTTTCAGTGATGATGACCCTGTGAAGGGAGTGAAAGCAAGGAGAGAGTTGAATGGCTTCTGTCTCTTTCGGTTGCTGGAGAAACAAGTGTCCAGGGCGATAAAGAATGAGACCCAAGTCACTTCTCCCCAAATTCTACAGTATAGATCAGGCATGGGCAAACTGTGGCCTTCCAGGTGTTTGGGACTTCAACTCCCACCATTCCTAACAGCCTCAGGCCCCTTCCTTTTCCCCCTCAGCCGCTTAAACGGCTGAGGGAGAAAAGGAAGGGGCCTGAGGCTGTTAGGAATGGTGGGAGTTGAAGTCCAAAACACCTGGAAGGCCACAGTTTACCCATGCCAGCTCTAGAGCCATTTATCCATCACTGTACTGAACTGGATCCCTCGTCCTCTCCTTCTGAGAAAAGAGACTTCACAGTTACCCCGTTTTCTCGGATGGAGGTGTCCTACCTAATCCATGTTTTTGTTTCGGAATAAGCCCCTTCTCTGGGGTATAGCGGAGAGGGGATCGGATTTGCCTGGAGTGGGGCGCCTGCTGTTTTTACGACGCGGCTTTGTGTTCCCTTTCCGCCTCGCAGCCACCCGGAAATGTGGACTCTGTGTGTCTTTCTTTCAGGTCTTTCCTTCTTTCAGGTCTTTCCTC